TTGGCTGTAGTAATTTCTATTCTACAGCTGTAATCCTTTTAGCCACCTTGCTTTGCCTTGTCTCCACAGATAATGTGAGCATTATTACTGGGAACTTAGGCAAAGTGTTCATCTAGCCTTATGGTTCCCCCATAATCCAGGTTATCCTTACTTTCTACCTTTTCCTCATCCATATTGCAGCCTCATTTCTTCTCTCTTTATCTCTCATTTCTGTAAGTTTGATTTGGTAATACACCAAAATACACTTTGCCCAATCTATACTATTGCTTTGAAACAAGGCAGTAAAACATGTTAGATGATATATCCTGATCAGGACATACTTTTGGTCTCAGTATCTTGTCCAGTGATGTTTTCACACCACCATTTGACAGTATTCTCACTGCAAATACCTTTGTTAACACACGGTCCAATTTATTCACAGCTTTGGTATGATATCCACTAAAAACAGCCCTTATTACTTTACAGTTATATTACAATGATGAAAGCTAAAGAAATAAACAAAACAAAGTCCTCAAATATCATAAAGTTTTAGTTTATGCTTCGTATAAAATTACAATTATTAAGTAATACTGCTCTTGAAAAGTAAAAACAAAAGCACATCAGGCAGAGCCTAAGGGACTAAAAACAAAGCAGTATCAAAAAGGGGTTGCTATCTCTGCTATCGAACATCTAACACTTAGTTGCCCATCCAAGCTATCACAGCATTTGTTTTCTGTAGCTTCTCAGTGATTGCTGAAGTACCTTTTCTGCACAGTTCTGCCCTCAGGCTCCTTTCTCCCTCTCTCTCTCTTTACAGAGATATTGAACACTGTCCTTTTCTGACAAAGCTCCCTGTATGATCTCATCCTGTCGTCCCCTTGTCTGGCCTCAGCTTGGCCTCCTGACAAAAGCAAAAGTAGCTACAAGAGCAATGAAGTTCAGTAGCTCAATAAAGTATTTTTAAAAAAAAATTTCAGAACAGAAAATTACTGCCTCTTTTTTTCTTTTTTTTTTAAAGAAACACTCTGGTAGGTGAACTCTGTTTTACTTGAACAGCAGACCTTAAAATAAAGCTACCAAATCACTTAAAATCTTCTACAGGAAGGACGAAAGCAGCAGGTATCATGCTCAGAAAAGGTCCAAGCAAGCACTATTCAGAAAGAAGGTCTTCTTCAGGCTTATGGAAGAAAAAACGGAATATGCAAACACCCATGCACTCACACACTAAGAGCGACTGAGGTTGCTGCAGTTTGAAAGCACATGACCAGGCAGCTAACCTGCTGGGCCATTCCCTACAGGTGTCACAACAAGGCAAAGGAATTTGCCGTGGAAGGTTTGGGGAGCAGCTGTCACCGAAAGAGAGATGTATATTTTTAAAGGCTTTGTCATTTGTCTTCAGGGTGGGAAATGCTGTATTTGACCTCCTGCTGAGGCAGCAGCCCAGATGCAGCAGCCTGGGCTAGAAGAATAAAAGGAGGCACAGCTATTATTTCAGGTACAAACACCAGAAAGCAGAGACAAAAGGCACAGTCATTAAATCATCACCACTATTTAAAAGCACACATGACAACTTTTTAATACTTTTCATGCCACACGAGTCTCCCCTCAAGGCATTCTCCAAAACAATTTGTGTTAGCTAATTGTTAACTATCTCACTGGCCAAGTAAAACGAGACAAAAAAGCACGACACCGAACACTGTCTCAGCAACACCAAACAGCCCTCGATGGGAAATGCTAAGGAGCTGACAGCTCTTGGCCCGTTCCCTGCCTTCCAGCCGGCTGAGGCTGTGCCACCTGAGAAGGCTGCTGCACCACCTGGCTCCAGCTTCTCATCTCTCCCTGCTTCCCCCCACGCTAGCCTGTATTCTGATCTACCATCTGCAGCTCCTGTAATTGCTCCTCAACCTCTTCAGCTCAGCAAGGAGCTACCACCAAAACAGTTTAAACCAACTGGGATGAAACAGTGCAAGGCCAATTGCATGAGCCAGGGGTGGGGGTTTCCCATAGAGCTGAGCCAGTTTGGCAGCTGGCTGCTCTGCCCTCTAGCCTCAGGCTCCAGCTCTCTTCCATCAGGGATAACCGAGACCCTTGGGCACTGCCACGGGGCCCCACGGCAGAGAGCCAGCTCAGGAAGCCAGTCAAACAGAAAACAAGCTGTACCAGCAAAAGCTCTTCTGCCAGTACAGGTCCCCCAGCAAGCTGAGGCTGGGAATCGCCAGAGAACAGGAACATGACTACCAATTGCACTGGTTCAGATCCCTCTGCAGACCAGTAGACCTGAGGGACATCAGGCCAGGGTGGTCCACCTGCTCCACACAGCAGAGCTGCAAAGCCTCCCAGCCACCCCTGCCAGGTCACTCCAGGTATCCCAGCCTGCAGGACATCGGTCAACAAAAGCCTTGTCCTAAACTGTAAAGAGGTACTAATAGGGGATGGCCCTTGAAAGGATTTGGTGCAAAAATTTTCCCCAATGTTCACTTACTCAAATGTGTTTCAAGTAGAAAAGTTTTTTTTCTCCTTACATTTCAGAATGTCAGACACTGAACAATATGGATTAAAAATGTTTCCAGAGTGATCCCTTTGGCAGCATTAAATTCATACTTGGAGGAATGAATTCAAACCATTGTAAATTCCCATTAAGCTTGGAGAAAGGGAAAAACAAATGCTTATTCATTAAAAACAATGCCATTTGATATCTACATCAGGGGACTTCTGTAGGAAAGTGACTGGAAGAAGTGTTAAAGGCGTCTTTCAAGAGATGTAACGGAAAAAAGAATGAGTTACTCAAAACAACATGCAAGCATCCTTGACAACAACTTAAGCAAATCATGAAAGGCAGATTTCAATGATGCACACTGTATACAAAAAAAGCAAAGGATAATCTCAACATTTTTACAAAAACTGAATGATGGAGCAGAACCACTGTTGCTTTAGAAATAAGAAAATGTTAATGCACTCAGATGTGGAAATTAACCCTTTCAAAAAAGTCAGAACAGTCTGAAACAACATTACTCTCTAAAGACTGACAGGCTGGGATTACAAGTTGCCCATTCAGCTGCCCATGATCTGAGTCAGCTCTCACAGATCATATGTGAATGTGACATCCTTGAAGTAGGGGCTATATGTGACATTTCCAAAATACATTATGGTATACCTCAAAATATGAGTATTTAAGACAGACAGTAAGAGCACTTTAAAACACAATGTAGATGGGCATGATGAAATCCCTGGAATAACTGGCGAAACAACTGTATACATGGTAAAACTAAAGTAGTTGTGAAACCAAATATTTAAGATCATTGGAAATAAATTAGTTGAATATGCAACTGGGAAATAAGAAGCAAAGCAAAGGACTAAGATGGTTTTTAGAATACACTGAGAGCACATGATTTCATTACCAGCTTTCCCAGTATTGTATCAATTAACAATGGAAAGACTGAAATCTGTACAGATTGCTAGAGTAATGAGCTGGGGAAAAAAAGCATGTATTCCCAAAAAGTAATTACTGGTAGAAATCAAACACTGACACTGGTCTTTTCTAGGACGTGATGACTGACCAGTGGTTTTCAAGACTATTCCCTCACCCAAGCCCTAAAAGAAAAGGTCTGTTAACATGAAAAGATCCAAAGATTCAGAACCTCACCTTCACTAACACACTGATAGAAACACACCTCAGGAAGAATTGGTAAGAGAGGGGGGCGTATAACTACTTTTAATAGGTGTATTTTCACAGGAAATAAAGTTTTAATGTCTCAATGCACTTATAGCTGGAAATCCTCATCTGACAAGCTTTTTAATTTAAAAAAAAAAAAAAAAATCAAGAAGAGATGTGATAGCTAACTACTGGAGAAACTTACCAGAAATTCAGAAAAAAGGGAGATTGTGCCTGGTCAACTGAATGTTTTATCTTTCACACAGTTTTCCCGGATAAAAATCAGACAGATTATTCAACATTTAGTAAAATTAATGATCCCTTTCCATATAAAAAAATAAATCAGTAAGTCCAATGAACATGCCTTGAAAAGCCACTTTTGCATGAGGAACTGCTTAGAGCACTTAGGACAAAAGGTAGCCCTGAGTAAAGAAGTTTGGGGCTGATAAAAACTGAAAAGAAACATGAAAAGAAATGTTAACACCCAATCAGTTGACTACAAATCACTGTTTCAAAGAAGGTAACCTTCTCTGATGTTCTAAAATGGGGACTGCATACCAGTTTGGTACTAAGCAGAAAAGTTACCCGTGCTCAGTCTGGAATGGAACAGTTATCTGCCTGTTTTCCAAGCCAGTGCACATTATGTTGACATTAATCAGCTAAGAAAAGGAGAACCAGAATTAAACGCTCCAGTTAAATCAAACATGTTGGAAGCAGAAAGACCCTGAAGTGCATTTTCTACATTTACTATACAGAGAAGCAATGGCAATATATCACAATCAAATATTGCTACTCCTGCAACAGATTATTGCCGTAAAATACTGGCAAAAATGACTACTTAATACTATACCAATAGCACTGCCACCTACTCTTGGCTCAAATTTCTAAAGCTAATGACTAGATGTACAAGAAACCATGGTACTTGTTTGCACAGACGTACGCAGTCAAGGAATAAAAGTTTGGCAACAGATATATCAGGGAGCGCAGAATGAACGTGAAAGATTTAGAGGTTGACACGTGACAGAAAATCAATGGTTTACCAAGATGGAGGGGCCTGAGTGTGTTCATTCCCACCATGAAATTACTGAACATCCGTGCTTCTCGAAGTAACATTTCATCTATAAGATCAAACAGGGCAGTGAACAGCACTAGTTGGGGAAATTACAAATTTCCAAAGTCATGTATCCTCAGAACAGTATGCCACTGAAATGCTAAAAGCAGCAGCGCTATTGCCACCAAATACATGTTTGGTTTTGTGTTGTTGTTTTTTGTGTTTTTTTTTAAAGAATGCAAGACAGTCACAGGTAGCATTTATTCAGAATATGACCATCCAAGAATTAGTAATACACCAAAACGAGTCTTTTCCTACCAGCTGATTTTGGAGTGAATTTGTCCCTGTTGGCTGCACATACTGCCAGTAGCCTGTATCCAAGATCCAAGTCAAATCCTTGCTGAGCTGCCACTCGACTAACCACCTGCAAAGGGAAAAAGAGAAAAAGCTTCGTTAGGGGTTACTTGAGCTCTTTACAAAGTTAAGTTAACTCGCTTATCAGCACTAGTGTTAGGCAACTGAATCTGCTGTGATAGCCACAGTACAAACATGGTATGGGACATTGCTCTCCAGTAGTTTCCAGTGCAAGCACAGCAAACTGAACACAGGAGTCTTCCGGTGATCTGGTTATTTGCCCACTTGCCAGAAGAAAGGCCTGGTAGTACCAAGAAAGTTGGAGAGACAAAGCTTTTGCTGAAGAAATAATGCAAGAGAAATGTATGCAAAGATTGTACAGAATACATTTTACTGTACTTGAGACTTCAGGATGAGAAGTTCCTAAGTCTCTGTCTCTGCATCACATGCAGTTCCTGGCCCTGTTCCCAAGAGCAGTGCCCAGGTCCTTTAGGTTAAAATGTCCTCCTCCTCACTGATGGGCAGCGTTCTCCTACGCTGTGATCAGTGTCACAGTTGCTGCATTTCAACAATACCGTATTGGGAAGCACATTTACTACAGCTTTATGATAAATAGGCCTGTGCAAGAAGTATTTGCCAAACACATTAAAGAGGAAAAGAAGATTTTGGGTTTTTTTTTTTTTGGACTGATCTAGGACTAGCAAAACTAGGCAAATCAAAGACTGGGGTTAAGGATGCAAAGCAGTCAACCGTTTCTCCAGGCCAGCAACTCAGCTTTCAGCCAAGGATGTATCCTCACGAAAATCTGCATAGTATAAACACAATACTGTGGTCATTCTGGCAAACTATGCTAAAGTTATACACAGCAGAGCTTTTATATTGCCTTCTAGTGGCACAGGATGACTTCAGACTCAGAGGCATAGATAAAACAGATTATTCTTAACCTTACTGCTTTGCATTGAAACAATGGTCAAGGAACTCCATAAGAAACAGAACAGCATTTCCTTGTGCGAAGCAAAAGAAAGCCCCTATCCTAAATAGCTTACAATAGAAGAAAATATCCTTTCCCACCCCCATCTCCATCTGAAAGCTTCTTTCTAAATTAATGACACTGCAATTATCTGCATCCAGGACTGATCCCCCCACAAAAGCAACAGTATAGAACAGAGTGAAGAAGCAACATATGTGATAACCTACAAATGGTAAACACATGCACGATTCTGCCCTACCTACTCCACACTATTACATGGATCTTATTATTCTGAACTTTTTCTAATATCAACTTTTCGTAATTAACAATTAAGAACCAAATATCTTTCTTAAGAAAGAATTAGCATGGATAAGTTCCCAGGTAGATTTTTATAGTTTCTGTTGTTCATTCCTATTCATTTAGAAATTACAGATTCACGTGACTTAATCAGGTGGCAGTGTCCCCTCCCTCAATTTTTTTTAACCCTCCTAATCTCAAAATTGAGTAGAAAGAAATGAAATGAGAATTTGGGATAATCAGTGCAATAATACACAACCCTAGAACACACCTATTGTTTTATCTCCTGTTTCTCTTTACAGTTACAATTGTAAGTTTTAGATAGGAAAGAAAAAATTTGTGAGAAAGAATGCAATTATTTTTGATAAATCAAAAAACATTTCCAGCTTGGTAGATCAGCCTGTAACCCTTTACACTTAAAAGTCTGATTGTTGTTAATATCTTGGGTAAGACTCTGGGTCCAAACTTGCAAAAATTAGATAAAAAAACCCACAAGCTAAAGAACAACAGGAGAACAACAAGATATCTCATATTTCATGCAATAGGAGTGAAGACTGGTGGGCTGCTATGAGATCTGGAAGACACTTACACACTTGGAAAGCACACTGTTCCCCTTTCCTACTTCCAGTATCACCATAGTTCAGCCACTGACAGGCAGACATTAGGGAAGGGATCAGCAGGAAGTAGACAGAAAGCTCCTCTAAAAAAAACATCTTGTTAAAGGCTCCTGAGGGCTATGTCTCATTAATGTGTAAACATTATTTAAACTCCTTTAGGCATCATCTACTGTACCATCACAGAGGAACACATTTCAGAGTGCTAATCAGGTCTGTAAAATAAAGGAGAAAGGGCCCTCCCACTTTCTGTTTTGAAAAAGCACATCATCATTGAACTATTTATTTTGTAACTGGACAGGAACAGAAGGCAGATCTACCTGCTCATCAGTGAGCACATGGCAAATTAAGAAAAGCATTGTCTGCTTATATGCTTGGTTCATTTTAAAACATGAAGCTACAAATACTGAGACCCTGCTGGCCAGAGGCCAAATCACTACTCTCAACTGACATTTTGCTAATTACGGAAAAAATTCTACAAGGTAACTCAGGAAATATGGAGAATTGTAAAACCCTGAGCTCATGAAAGCCAATCTATGATTGCCATGTCTTCACTGAATAGATTGCAAAGTCTGGGTCAGTCTGAGTCCTAACAACAGGCTGAGGCTTAACGTGTTACACTCTCATTTGACATCAGTTTCCTTTTCTTAATCTCCTCTGCCAGAGAAAGCGCTGCTCCGTACCTCACCATGGCCAAAAACAGAGCTTCCAGATGCCAGGGTGCGCAGCCCCAATGCTGACTGCACCCCGATGGCCATCGCATCGTCCTGCTAAAGCCTACCTTGAAGCAAGTGAAGCTATACATTAGCAAGCACTGCAAGCAGAAGACTAAGCATGAGAAGGCAGAATCTGAACTTGCGAGTCTAGAGAAATCAGCCAGTCAAACTATTACTTATTGCTCAAGTTTTTCATGAAAAATGTGAGGGAAAACAAACTGCAAATTCATTTTAGCTTAAAAAAAAAAAAATATAAATCTGAAAGAAAGTGCTTCCACCGACAAACTGCACAAAAACCCCTTCTTCCTCTCAAAAGAACAACAAAGCCCTCAGCTACTTAATAGAAAACAGACATTTCTAATAAAATTTCCATTTTGCCAAGAGTCATTTTCCACCTAAATTTTTCTTCTATGTACTCTGCTAAATGCAGAAATAGGCTCTGTAAAACAAACTGGTCGAATTGTGCTCAAGAGGGATTTCTCTGGGCCCTTCTCCCCCAACCCTTGGCTTTTGTACACCACTCCTCAGCAACCCCCTTGGTCAACACAACTAGGGCAGTTCACTTTTTATTTCCAGTTTCTTCATAGGCTTATGAATTTTTGCATTAACTGTATTTAAAGTTTAAAGTTTTTCTTTCAACTGCAACAGCTAAAGACTTACTTTTATTTCAAAAAGAATAGATCATATATATCCTCCAAAGACCCTGTTTCAGGTTGCCTATAACTGAGGTCAGACATTGCTCACTTGGTACTTGGAAGGCTTTCATCCAGTGAACCTGTATGCAAGGGACCTCCTGGCCTTTTAAATAAACACTGAGATTTCTCAGAAACAAGACGACAAATGCATCATAGGAATATGATCCAGAAAACGCAAAGAACTAACTACAAGACATTTGGTAAGTTTAATATATTCAAGTCAGCAGACCCTGATGAAATTTACCTTAGAGTGCCTCAGAGGAACCATCCGGACAAACCTTGCAACAGCTAATGATTATCTTCAGGAATTCATTCAAGACAGACACCTTGGAGGCACATCAAATCTCTGGTTTTAAGATGGTAAAAAGGTGAATCTCAGAAGTTACGGGTACTCAAACAACAAAACAAACTACTAAACAAGTATTAGGTGAGTAATACAGAACATCATCATGAATTCATCAGCACAGTGCAGTTTTCTTCTTTGATGAGTAAACTAGCCTTGTAAGGAAGATAGTGGACATAACATACCTTAAGTCTAATATGCCTTTTGATATTGCCCTATATGACACTGTCATAAACAGAGAAACATAGCCCAGATGACAGTAGTATAAATTTTACTCAGATTATTAATTAATAGTCCTCGGTCAAATCATAACTTGTGCTGGATACAGGTCATTTCTACGTATTCAGTCATGACTTGGACAATGAAACAGAGTAAATTGCAAAACTTCTAGATGATAACAGGCAGAAGAGTCTGCGAACACTGGAGAGGACAGGATAAGAGTTTAAAATAATCTTTATAAACTGGAAAAATGTTTAAAAAACAGGACAAAGACGCATATAAAATACTAGAGATGGGAAAGAAAAATCAAATGGTCAAATAGAGAATTAGTAACACAGCAGAATTCGTCTGCTCAGTGTACAACTGACTATGGATAAGTACTGGGAAAATGTTCCAGGTATTAAAGATCATCAAGCACTGCAGCAGGCTACCTATCAATCCCTGGAGTTTGGGGGGTAAGGAATTTATAATAGACCAGACAGAACCTATACAACATCCCAGCTTGGGGAAAAAGAGTAGACACCACACTCCCTTAGGTCTGTCTCAAGCTGAATCTTGGCAATTCCAGACACCTGCTGCTGACTGGAGCCACCCAGCTCAGACTGAACTCTGTCCCAGGAACTCCCCCAAGTTTGAAACCTCCTGTGATTTCAATCTTACTCAGATAACAGTGCTGATCAGATGGGATCGCATCAACACAGTTTCAATTATCCATTCAATGTTATGGCTAAGTGATACGATACCACTTGCAAACATACTCAGGCTTTCTCTAACTGCTAACTCAAGTTGAGCACACCAGCAAAAATTCAGACAACATGCAGGCAGCACCATGTGTTCAACCATGACTTCATTCTGCAATGCTGTAAGCATGTATCTTAGTTGACCTAAGCATACATGCCATAAAATTTCATTGAAAAGTAGTGCATTTAAAAAAAACTAACGGACATAGTTGCCAGTAATACCACAATCATAAATTGAGATCATCATCCTTTATCAGTTGAGAATGGTGCTTGGCCAGTGCAAGGTTCAACACTTCAATATATTTTACAATAACAGTTGAGACAGTTAGACCTTATAAAAGCTAGCCTATTTCCTACATATGCTTGTAGGAAACCTAGCTTTTATTTCAACTTAGATATGGTGCTGACAACTATTTCAAGCTGTGTCTTTAAAGGAACACATACCTTACTTGCAAACAAACATTATTGCAACATTA